TCTCTCTCCTGAAAATCCATTTAAAAAAAATTCTCTTTCTGAGAAGATGCCCAACCTTTTCTCTGCGGACCAGAGCGTGGGTGCACGAGGCCTGGCCAGCCCCGGCAACCGCACGGCCACTCCGTCCGTGACACGCGTAGCGTCTGCGGCGACGCGCCAGGGTCCGGACTACGGACGCCCGCCCCTGGGAAACGCGCCCGGAGATGGGGACTGAATCGTCCGGCCGCGTATAGGTTGATCCCGTGGGCGGCGGATAGGGCAGAAAAGCGAAGCGAGGACGAGGACGAGAGCCCGGCGCCGGGCCGCGGGGCAGTCGTCGTGGCCGCCTGCACCTGCACGGGATGATGGATCGGGTGGCCGTACTACCGTGGCGACAACGGCGAGCCCGCCGCGGGGAAAAGGATTCCTACGAGAGGACAAATAACTGAGGGCTGACGCGGGCCCCGCCGCCGTCCCGTGGCTTCTACCACGGCAATTTCTATACCCTTTCTGCCCCTGCCCATCAGCAAGCGTCGTTCAGTTCAGGGCCTGTTTGATCAGTTTTGGACTCTTTAAAACCAGTTTTTGCCTCTAATTTTTAAAATGTAGATTCTGAGAAAAAAAAACCGGTGAGATGTTTTGATCTCCTACTTTTTAAGAATTTGGCTTCATTTATTGCTCTGTAGATCAAAAAAACTAGTAAAAGCTGGTATCAACAGCTTCCTAGTTTTTAAAAATCTGACAAAAATTGGCCCTAAAAACTTAGGGTGTTTGGATCTCACCCAGTTTTTAAAAATCAGATACTTAAAATTTGACAAAAACCGGAAAGATTCAAACAGGGCCTCCGTCAGCTTGAGCGATTTTTTCCACCCAGGTGAAAAATTCAACTAAGCTTATTGTTCGTGATACGGTGAATCTTTTTAACCGCTCGATCCATTTATTCCGACGGCATCGTTGCAGCTTTGGGATGCTATTTGCTACGGGGTGTAGTGACGCAACGAGCATCATGTATTGCCATATCGATATCATGTGTAGTCGCGTAGGCCAACAACATATGATCGACTATAAAGCATATAATAATAATAATATATAGCTGAAGGAATTTTTCTGGAAGAAATCTCTTCCACGAAGAGTGGACTGGTTAGGTCAAAGAGCTAAACATGTAGGCCAGGGATGGGACAACCGTGGTGAGGTTGATGATCACCCAACAAAGGCCACAAGCTCCACGAGCATGTAAGAGCATCTTTAGGGCATGTTTGGTACACGGCCTGAAGCCAGCCAGGCCCGACGGCCAGGCTCAGGCCAGCCACAGCCTGTCTGAACTGGTGCAAGGCGTCGTGTTTGGTGGCCTATGCCAAACGGACCTGGCCCAACAGAGATTGTGTTTGGTAGGAGGCATGAATGGATATGGTCACCCTCGTATCTGGAATAGGTGGCGTTACCTCCCTTCTCACCCTTGTTGGCATTCCATCGAGCGGTTGGTAGGCGGCGACGAGGAACACGAGTACGTCGCTGGCGAGCATCCAGAGCGGGACGTGGAAGAAGCTTGGCTCCACCACGGCCATGGCTACCGCCTAGCTTGAGGCCATCGCGCGTGGACGCCATACACGGGGCGCTCCGTGGTGACCCAGCCATCTCGGGCGACAACGGCCTCCCCGGCTGCGGCACGCGCCACGTCGATGGCGACGCGCAACCGGCCCAGCGCGCAGGAGGCGCTCACGCCCGCAGCTGCTCCCCATCGGGCCCACGTGCACGGACACCACCAGCTCGGCGGGGCGCGCCGAGAGCCTCTGCACGGCCTCGGCGTCGAGGCTGAGCACGACGGGGTCGGCGTACGCCGCTGCCGCGCCAGGGCCCGAGGCAGCGGACGCGCACGCGAGCGGCAGCAGCGCAATGCGGGAGAGCGAGGAGGAGGGGTGGTCCTGGACACGTCGACGTCCACGAGGCCCAAATCAACTCTCCTGGCCGGAATCGGTCCCGACGTCAATCTCCTGGCCCAAATCGGGCCAGCCCTATCTCCGCGGGCGGCTCGGCCTTGGCGGTTGCACTGCCTTGGTGCCTCCTGCAACGGTAGTGACATCGGTGGCGAGCACGACGGCATGCGGACGGAGAGGCGTGCGGCTACGGGAGGTGAAACTCACAAATGAACGGGAGGTCACTCCATCCATCGTGTGAGCGCTTCGCCCAGCCTGCCCCCAAAAAACGGTGGGGGGTTTCGTTTCTCTGGAGCCATGAGAGAGAGAGTTTTTTGCATCGTTGTGGCCAGGCTCGTGAGGGGGCTGGGGACATCAAACAGAGAGAATTGCAGCTGGAGGGTGCAGCCGGGCCGTCGGGGCGGATACCAAACACGCCCTTAGTACTCCCTCTATGGCTCTATTTTTTTTGGTTTTTCTACGTATATATTTTTTACTATACATCTAGTTATAGATTATGTGTAGATACATAACCAACCTATCGTATCTAAAAAAACTAAAACAACTTATTATTTAGAAAGGCTAGAGTAATATCTAAAAATTTGAGTACTAAAAAACTAATTTTGTAAACCTTTCTAAAAAATTGTGTACAGAAAATAAATGAATACACTACACCGACCAGTTCCTTTTTATTACAGTTGACCACGGACGAAATAACTCGCCGAAGGCCAATTGAAAGTTAGAATAATGAACTTTTGGAGTTGAATTTCTTTCCATCATGCTAAACAAACAGATCAAGAGTGGATTTACTAAACTGTTAGAGATCCTCTAATAGTGCAAACTTATATAATATATAAGAAGAACAAGATATTAGGTCCTTTCACCATCTGCAGCGAGGTCGAACCAATTATATATTAAACCTTTTAGTTTCCTTTTTCTCTTTTAACTTGTGTTTCAAACTTACTGTGTTTGTTCCATCATGTCTTTGGGAACAAGAGAAAGTCATTGTATATTACGGTGTCACTTTAGTCGGCTTAGTACTTAGACATATAATTATTGAACATATAATTTTATATAGTGTGGAAAATATACAAATTAGCACAGTATACAAAAATCTTAGTTCACTGTACATGCCAAAGAACCTTGATTAGTTTACGGAGCTAGAAAAATGCTTATTTAAAAGCCGAGTTAAAAAAATTATTGCAAAGAATAGAACAAAAGATAGTTGTTTAACGTAAACAAAAAAATAGCAACAAATAATATCTAACAAAGGAAAAAAGAAACCTCTACGCACTCAAATTTTGTAAGAAAAGACTTCTAAGCAAACTATAGCTAACCTATCAAAGCTCAACTCTTCCATCCTTCAAATTTTGTCGAAAAGGGTATACCTCCCTTTCGATCATTTTTTAGGGATGCAAGGTGGGTTGTTCACAAACCCACAAAATAGGCTATATTTTTTGCGGGTTACCTGCAGATCCGAAAAACTTAAGCTTATTTGTGGGCTCGCGGACAACCCTTTATCCCTTTCACATTATTCATACAAGAAGTTTGTGAACATGGCTGTCATACAAGTCTGTAGTGGGGATGAAGCCATGGTAAGGCTCCATAGCTAGATTCACCGAATGCGAGCTAGATTCACCGAATGCGGTACATTGTAGCCCCTTCGCACCGGGAGTTTGGGAACACACATCTTCCGCACATCCTTTAGTAGCAGTGAAGTCAAGGCATATGTATCGAATGCTCCCTTCGTGTCTTGAGAAGAATACAATTATAACGTTATTCAAAAAAGAATTCAATTTTGGTTTATGAGTAGGTACGAAATCCTAAAACAAGATGTGCTATATAGATGTTTGAGGCAATAAATAGAATTTATAGGTGTAACTATCTGCTTTTGTTCAACCATCACACGTGAAGAATAAACACAATAGAGGTATACTTTTTTTTGTTGTGTGCACATTTTTTCCTTCTAGATATGTGATAATTGTATATTTTTAGACTGATGGAGTAATTACTACTTCTCAAGGAATTAGGAATGTATAGTAACTTCTTCGCAACGTTGGGTGCATATTTCAACTCCTCTGCTGATGATCCAAAACGTCGCGGATAGGAGTAAAAAAAGAAAGGGCATGTGGTAAATATGGATTACAGTACACCTACCAAGTACAACAATGCACGTGGCAGACACGCAGAGGGCACCGTCGTACGACGACGACAGAGGATCCGAGTCCATTTTGACGCGGCAGCACCCACACGCCCAGGCCAGGCCAGGCCGTACGGTAAAAAAGAGCAAAGCAGGCGCGCACGCATCGCCACCGCTGGGGTGTCAGGCCAGGGGAGCTGCACGCTGCGGGGGGCAGCGGTACGAGCACGAGTGGTGGTGGTGGGCTCGTACCACGGGTACGCGTGCCCGGTGCCCGCGACGCGCGATCGCTCTCGCGGCGGCCTGCCCGCCCCCACCACCCGCCCCCGTACGGCCGTCCCCGGCCTCCCCGTCCGTCCCCGGCGTGGGGTGGGGCCGGCGGCACCACCACCCACCACACCGTCCCCGTCCCGCCCCGCGCACGGTCGCTAATTACGCGCACCTGCCATCCGTCCGTCCACGCACACGGCGCACGCCACCCGCCCCGTGTTGCCACGCCAGGACGCTACCCACGCGGGAGGTCCTCTTCCCCGCCCGCTTTTGCGCTGCCGCTGCTGCCTTCTCTCCGCTCGATTCCCCGCGGCCTCGCCCTCTCTCCCTCTCACACGCCTTCCTTCCAGCGCCGCAACCACGCCATCAGGGCGGGCAGCCCATTCCTCATCCTCCTCTTCACTTCACCCCTAACCTCCGCGCTCGATTTCCGCACTACTCAGCTGGGCAGGGAAGGGATATTTTCTGCTCTCGCCCTATTTTTGGAGGACTAAGCAGGCGGCGAGGTGACGTGACGCTTGCGACTTGGCGCCGAAGACTTGCGTGAGAGGTAGTAACTGGAATCTTTCTCCGCAGCCCCCCGGCGCCTCTCGTATCTCCTACTGCGCCGCTGATCAGTTTGACCTCATCTGCAGATCCGTCTAGTGGTGGATCGGTGGCTGCGGCTGAGTTGGGAGACCCGGAGACCTTGAGGAGCGATGCAGAGGGAGGTGGGGCCGCAGGTGGCCCCTCCGCTCTTCCTCCACCAGATCCAGCCGATGCCTCCCCACGCCGCCGCCGCCGCCGCCGCCGCCGCGAAGAAGCGCGGCCACCCGTGGCCCGCCGGCGGCGCCGCCGTGGCGCCCGCGGAGGCCGCCGCAGGGAACTGGAACCCCAGGCTGTGGGACTGGGACAGCCGCGCGCTCACCGCCAGGCCGTCCTCCGATGCGCTCCGCCTCGCCGGTGGCCAGCCCCAGCCGGCAGCCAAGGCGGCTGAGGCGCAGCGCCAGGGGACCGGGGGTAGCGGCGCGCTGAACCTCCAGCTCGGCCTGCGGGAGGACGCCGCGACCCCGATGGACGCCAGCCCGACGGCTCCCGCGGCGGCGGCGTCGCCGTTCCCGCCTCCTGCTTCGGCCGCGGCGGGGCAGGAGCCGGTTGATAGGCCGAGCAAGCGCGTGCGGTCCGGATCGCCGGGGAGCGCTGGGGGAGGATCGGGCGGCGGTGGGGCTGGCAACGGAGGCGCGAGCTACCCGATGTGCCAGGTGGATGACTGCCGAGTGGATCTGACCAGCGCCAAGGATTACCACCGGAGGCACAAGGTCTGCGAGACCCACAGCAAGACCAACAAGGCGGTCGTCGCCAACCAGGCCCAGCGCTTCTGCCAGCAGTGTAGTAGGTAAATGACAGTAACTGCAGGAAACTGAGATTTGTTGTTGTGATGCTACTGCTAGGAGTCTAATTTTTGTGATTTGATCGGTTCATATGGCGTGTGTGTGCTTGCTGGGCCAGAAAGATGTTTCCCTATCATGGATTCATGGTGCGGTTTCGGCCGGTGTTGGTGTTGGCTGTGGGAGTTTTAGTTACTAATAAGTTGGTTCTTCTGGTCGATCGTTTAGATTTCACCCACTCGCGGAGTTTGATGAGGGTAAGAGGAGCTGCCGGCGTAGGCTTGCTGGCCACAACCGTCGGAGAAGAAAAACCCAGCCAACAGATGTTGCTTCGCAGTTGCTGTTACCTGGAAACCAAGAAAATGCAGCAAATAGGACACAAGATATTGTCAATCTAATTACAGTGATTGCACGCTTGCAAGGTACTAACTACTAACACTCCATACTCAATATATTATTTGAGGACTTTGTGATTTTAACCAGTATTGCACAATTTTTCTGTATGACAGGTTCTAACGTTGGTAAAGTGCCTAGCATCCCTCCCATACCAGATAAACAGAATCTGGTTGAAATTATAAGCAAAATAAATTCATTGAACAACACGACCCCTGCGGCAAAGTCTCCTCCATCAGAAGTTGTTGATTTGAATGCTTCACAAGTGCAACAAGAGCAACGGCAGGATTCTGTGGAGAAGACTACCAACGGAATCGACAAGCAAACTGTGCCATCAACCATGGACTTGCTAGGAGTTTTTTCAACTGGCCTTGCAACTTCAACACCTGAGACAAATACATCCCAGTCCCAAGGGAGCAGTGACAGCAGTGGTAATAACAAGAGCAAGAGCCATTCAACAGAGCCAGCAATTGCTGTAAATTCACATGATAAATCAACCCGAGATTTTCCTGCTGCTGGTTTCATGAGAAGCAACAGCACACACGAAAGCCGACCTCATATATACAAGCAGACAGAACAAGAAACCAGACCATACTTGTCACTGCAGCTGTTTAGCAGCACTGAGGAGGATATTCCACCTAAGATGGACTCAGTGAATAAGTACTTATCTTCTGAGAGTAGTAATCCTCTGGACGAGAGATCTCCTTCATCCTCTCCGCCTATAACCCGCAAGTTTTTCCCCATACATTCGGTTGATGAAGAGGTTCGGCACCCTCATATTACAGATTATGGGGAAGATGCTACAATGGGTGAAGTTAGCACAAGCCAGGCATGGTGTGCACCACCACTTGATCTATTCAAGGATTCAGAGCGCCCCATCGAGAATGGATCACCACCAAATCCTGGTTACCAGTCCTGCTATGCTTCAACATCTTGTTCAGACCATTCACCTTCAACCTCGAACTCAGATGGACAGGTAGTCTTTATGTGAAGCTTGCAATTTTATTTTTTCACAACCTTTCCAAGACCTGTTACCATATTAAGCATGCACCTAAATTATCTTGATTTGCCATTTTACAGGATCGGACTGGTAGGATTATTTTCAAGCTGTTTGGCAAGGAACCTAGCACAATACCTGGGAACCTTCGTGACGATGTATGATCATTTGCTTATTCTAGCAAGATACATTGCAACATGTTTTACCCTGTTTCCTATGACTGTGATTTAAATGCACCCCTTTCTTATCTTGAGCAGATAGTAAATTGGCTCAAACACAGCCCTACTGAAATGGAGGGATACATTAGACCTGGTTGCATTGTACTATCCATGTACCTATCAATGCCGGCTATTGCATGGGATGAGGTAAGTCTGATACCCAATTGGACATTATGAGATTATTACTCAACTACAATTGCTATATCTCATTTTGAAATTGCTGTGACGTAAATGCAGCTTGAAGAAAATCTCCTCCAGAGAGTAAACTCATTAGTTCAAAGTTCTGATATGGATTTCTGGAGGAAAGGAAGGTTTTTAGTTCGAACCGACTCCCAGTTGGTATCGTATAAAGCGGGTATGTGCAAATTAGTCAATTGTGCACCATATATATATATATATTTTTTGTGCCCCAGCTCATTGGAGAGCTTGATTTTTGCTCTGTCTTATTTCAGGAATGACCCGTTTATCGAAATCGTGGAGAACATGGAATACCCCTGAATTGACCTTTGTGTCACCAATTGCTGTTGTTGGTGGGCGGAAGACTTCCCTCATTCTTAAAGGCCGCAATCTATCTATTCCTGGCACACAGTAAGTTTTGAGTTGTAACTATTGTTGGAATGACAATGATTTCATCACCTTAACGATTTCTTGTGAACTTTGGACAATGCAGGATCCATTGTACAAGTATAGGGAATTACATATCCAAAGAAGTTCTTTGCTCAGCATATCCAGGTACCATATATGATGATTCTGGTGTTGAGACCTTTGACTTGCCAGGACAACCAGATCTTATTCTTGGACGCTGCTTTATTGAGGTTTGTAAAATTTAAAATGCTATGCTTTTATGAAACCTAGCTGTTTGCTTTGGTAAGATGATCAACACTGTCACTTTTGATATTTACAGGTGGAAAACAGGTTCAGGGGCAACAGCTTCCCTGTGATTGTCGCAAGTTCAAGTGTTTGCCAGGAGTTGAGAAATCTAGAAGTTGAGCTTGAGGATTCACAGGTTCTTGATGTTCCTTCTGATGGTCAGATTTATGACTCCCGGCAGTCAAAGACAAGGGTTCAAGTTCTGCACTTCCTTAATGAACTCGGCTGGCTTTTTCAGAAGGCTTCTGCCTGTACACTGTCCACTAGATCTGATATGTCTGATTTGGATTTGATTCAGTTTTCAACCGCGCGGTTCAAATATCTTTTACTGTTCTCTAGTGAGCGTGACTGGTGCTCTCTTACTAGAACACTTCTGGATATTCTTGCTAAGAGAAGCTTGGTCAGCGAGGAACTATCAAAGGAAACTATGGAGATGCTGGCTGAGATTCATCTTCTGAACAAAGCAGTAAAAAGAAAGAGTAGGAGCATGGTGCATTTGCTTGTACAGTTCGTTGTAATTTGCCCTGATAATTCCAAGGTTTACCCCTTCCTTCCAAATTTGCCTGGCCCTGGTGGTTTAACTCCGTTGCATCTTGCTGCATCCATTGAGAATGCAGAGGATATTGTTGACGCCTTGACAGATGATCCTCAACAGGTATGCTCGGTAAAATTCAATTTCTGTTTAGCTTTGAGTTATTTCACATCAATACTCCTAATTTTGCATAAATCACTGCAGATTGGTTTGACATGTTGGCAGTCAGTTCTAGATGAAGATGGCCAATCTCCTGAAACATATGCCAAGTTGAGGAATCATAATTCTTATAATGAGCTTGTAGCACAAAAGCTGGTGGACATGAAGAACAACCAGGTTACTTTAATGGTTAATGGCGATGAAATTCGTATGGATCAGTTAGGGAATGTTGGTGACCATAAAAAATCTGGGGTTCAGGCGTTGCAAATAAGATCTTGCTCCCAGTGTGCCATTTTGGAGTCTGGTGTGCTAAGGCCGCCTGTCCGGTCAAGGGGATTGCTTGCTCGGCCTTATATCCATTCAATGCTGGCTATAGCAGCAGTCTGCGTCTGTGTCTGTGTATTCATGCGAGCTTTGCTGCGGATTAATTCTGGTAAATCCTTCAAGTGGGAGAGGCTGGATTATGGTACAATATAATCGTGGGGACACCTGAGCCTTGCCGTATTATTAAGTTAACATGCAGTTGGTGCGGAGCTATTTTGGAGCCTTGGAGGGTATGGAGATTGTTTTAAGCTTCCTCGAAACTCTTCCATCCATGGTTGAGTGGTACAATATAAGTGTTAATAGGTGAGGTGCTGGAGATGTTGGATGCACTACAGGGAAGTTAAAGGAAAAAAATTGGCAAAACCTGGTGCCAAAGGTGGAGCTTGAGCAGAGTTGGCACATCTCATGGAAAGGGATGTAGCAACTGCGCTCCCACAAGATGAGATGTAATCCACAAGATGGATGTAATCACAGTTCGGTGATGAGTAAGTAACCTTGATTTCCTTTTTTGCTGGTGTAAGCGCGAGTCTTTTGGTTCAAATGTATCACGAGATGGTGTTTAATTTATCTTGCTCACTGTTTCACATTTTTTATTTTTTGTGTATTAAATACAGTACTCTAGCATGAATGTATCCTATATCGACTTTAGATAGTAGCAGGGGTAAATGAAAAGAGGCTTGCATATGTCTGTATCGATCATTTTGACTTGTAGCTACATAGAAATGAGGCAGATCTGGAGTGTACTTGGATCTTTTTGTTTTTTTGGTCATCCACCATAAGTTCCCATTCTGAAGAAGCTTAGTTACACGTTTCTACTATATTGTTTTCTTGATACCTGCCGGATGCTATCATTATCTTGTTCAATCACACTCCCTTCTGAATCAAATTTGTGCCTGAATTCCCACTCATCAAAATTCTCAAGTATGTCTTGTTCGGAGTCCGAAATTCATTTTCTTGAAAGAACATTGTATCAGAGCTGCTGTGCTATCTGTGAATTTCTTTCTTTTTTGTTCAAGTGGCTATTGTTATGTGAAAACAGTGTCGCAACGAACTTTCTGGTGGCATTCGGTGGTGCCCTGTGTCACGTAAAAAACCGACGGGCACGGCGTCGGCGGCATCGTGCGCTGTCCCTGTTGGAGGTGGAGGTGGTGGCCGGCCGGTCGGGGCGGCGTGACGCGAATGCGATGCCTTCCTTGACGCCTTTTCGGGACGCCGCCTCGTGTGGATCTCCCTGGGGACACGGCGGCGAGATTCTCGCGAGTGGCAGGCCGGCGGGGGCAGGGGGCTCCATCTCCCGCACCCACCACAGCGCGCACCGCGCAGGCACCTATCCATCCACCCATGCGTGGATACGCACAGCTCGGAGGCAGCCACTAGCAGCACTAGCCGGGCGGCCCACGGCCGATTGCTTTCTCGTCCCCTGCCTTCCCTTCCCCACATGGCTGTCGGATTGGACGCGCGCTGGCCACGTTCATGAATGATGCCGATGCCGTGCCGGTGCGGTGCCAACCCCGCCGGTACAGTGACGGATGGGGTCGCCATGGCACGGCCCGTGCGCCTTCTCCCGCTTTGCGTAGCACGGGCAAAGCAGCCCGCCGTCTCGTCTCGTCTCCACCATCGTCCTCGCCGTCCCCGTGCAACGGACCGACGGCGACAGGTCGACGCACGGCGCCACCGCGCGTTCGTCCTTGGTGCCCACGGCTGGTGCCTGAGGCGCTGACGCTGATCCGTCACGGCACGCCTCGCGAGGGATCCGGACATGGTCACATGGACCACGGCGACGTCGTGTTGCGTGCGGGCAGACGGGCACGGTGAGGACATCACGAGGAGGTTAACGTGCTGCTTTTGGACGCGAAAGCGGCCGTCTCCCCGGACCCGGGCCACACGCCCACACGCCCACCGTTTCCGCCCGACAGGTGAGGCGATGTGCCGCCGAAGCGAGCCGGCCAGCACGCCCATCGCCCGTCACGGCAGGCAAAAGGCAACGCCGTGCGTACGTCGGCGCGGCGTGAGCGTGACCCACCTCGCTGTGGAGTGGAGTGGAGTGGACGGACGAGGTGAGGCGTAGATGGGTGAGGAGGGTGAGCACAGCGACCTGGACTGGACTCGCATCTCCTGTCGCAGGCAGTTGCAGCGCAGACGTGCAGCGGCAGCGAAGTCCGTGTCCGTGTCACAGCCGCGAGCGAGCAAGCGTACGTACAGCCGGATAAGATGGCATGGCGCGTAGCAATTGCACGGGTCAAACGACACGGACAGCTTCCTGGACCTGGTGGTCTATCTATATAGGGCATCGTCGTGTTGTCGACACGTATAAGACCTACGGGCGGGGCTGATTAGTCAGTAATCCAACCCTCCGGCAGCCTGACTGAATGGGCACGACACAATGGAGCCCGGGACACTTAGCATAGTACAGTACGTCGGGGCGAGAACGACGCTGGCTCGCTGCTACTACAGTAGCAGAACGTACACTGGTCGGTGCAGGTGCAGGTGCATTGCAGTGGTCAGACAGACAAGCAGACAAGATAGCGGAGGCGCAGTCACCATCCACCACCACCGGTAGTACACTAGTACTACTCCCACCAGGCACAGGCAATGAGGCAATGGTCCAGGAGGACGACGCCTGCCTGCCTCGGTCCGGTTCCGGCTGCCGTTGCATGATGCGTGGAGACGGGGGACGGGGACGGGGACGGGGATCCCAGCCGATCCAGCAGCCGGCCCCCATGCCGGCGTTGGACTCGACTCGATGTGCCGCGCGACACCGGACGGGCTGGGGAGGAGGCGTGTCGTCTCGTGCGGGTCGCCGGGCGCGGAAGCGGGCGGTGGATGAGCGGTGGCTGGCTAGGTGAGGTGAGGTGCGTGCCCGGTGCCCCATGGCCTCACGCCGGGTGGCCTCCTGATGTGCCTTCACATGTTACCCGTGCGCGCCGACAGCGTGGCCGTCCGCTTCATTCGTCTGGCCATGCCGCCTGGGCGCGTGGGTTGGGATCCAGCCAATGAGGCCCTGTTTAGATTTTAAAAATTTTCACTCTAAACTGTCATATCGAATCTTGTGGCACATGCATGGAGTACTAAATATAGACGAAAAAAAACTAATTGCATAGTTGGGTGAGAAATCGTGAGACGAAACTTTCGAACCTAATTAGTCCATAATTAGATACTAATTATCAAATACAAACGAAAGTGCTACATTATCCCAACAGTAGCTAAATCCAAAAAAAATTTGGGAACTAAACGCGCACTGAGCCAACCTAAGCCTGCCACCTAGGGAGAGTACGAGTACGCCGTTCTGGGAGATTCTTCAACGCGGCATGCTGTTGCCATGTGATACGATACGATTCGGCGTGGCGCGGCGCGGCGCGGCGAGATTCGTCTGCGTGGAGTCTGGACACCTGTTTGTTGGTGTTCAGTACGTAGGATAGTATATTATCTATTTATTATCAAAGTGGGAAGGAACGAGGGCATGCATCCATCTGTTGTTGCCATGTGATATACATGAAGGGAAAAAATAATAAAAAAAAGTGTGTGCGTCTGGTTTCTTTTGGCGGTGGCCCAAACTCCAAACCAAACATGATTGGCAGCATCCGAACGGCCTGCACGGCAACGACGCAAGGTCCGCAGCGCCAAAGGAGCGGCCTTCCTTAACGACGCTCAAGGCCCGTCAAGGTTAGCAGATACGGTTCGCGGGTCAGCCTAACACCCCCCCAAGGCCCAGATCGCGCGGCCTCAGCCCAACAGCCCCCAAGGCCCAGCTCACGCGGCCGCCTCAGTCCTGCACCGAGACGATTCATCAGGTCGTAAATAAATTCTTCCCGGGAGTTTCAGACATTGCAAGTTGGCAACACCACACCAATCGACAGCCGACATGGTCGGCCGATCCGTGCTTCAGAAGGTCGCCTCCGGCGTGCCCAGGTCGAGAGCTCTCGCGGCACAGGGCGGCACTCCTGTTGGAGCCTCTGCTCCGGTACGTGTACTGTACTGACCCACGGCTGCTTTTGGAGATAGCTTCTTTTGGAGACAGATAGATGGGGTCATGGGAATTTGCTAATTTGGCTTGAATTTGAAGGATCTACAAAAGTTTTCGCCTTGTCCTCCTTCAGGAACGTGGCATTAGAACCCTACATCTTTTCCACGGAGTCAGCAGCTCGTCCCAAAATCCAAGGACGTCATGATTCCTGCGGCGCATACTACCAAGACTTTCCCTAATAATCGTCGGATTCATGGCCCTGTAAGTAGCTACGTTTTCTTTTTTCCTTTATCTATGCATACTTTAGGACGTCAGCATCATATTGGTCCTAATATTTTAGGACGTCAACAACATATTGGTTGTATAGTTACTTTAGGACGTCAACAACATATTGGTTGTAATTTTTTAAGGACATCAACAGCACATTGGTTGTAACTTTTTAAGGACATCAACAACACATTGTTTGTACTCCATCCGTTCCAAATTATAAGTCATTTTGAATTTTTTTTATATCCATTTTGCTATGCATCTAGCTATAAGATATGTTTAGATACATAGCAAATTGTATAAAAAAAAAGTCAAAGCGACTTATAATTTAGGACGGGGGGAGTAATTTTTTTAGGACGTCAACAACACATTGGTTGTAATTTTTTAGGATGTCAACAACACATTGGTCGTATCGTAGAAAATATTAGCAATATTTGTTTCTCCAAATAAGTTTATTGCAAAAAAGATATTCAACAATTGGTGCAAGGAATACTTATTGCAATTGCACTCTCTGACTTGTGTATAACACAGGCTACAAAGAACTTTGATTCCTCTCATGTCACTGCTAAAACCAGCTGCTAAAACCAATTGCACAAAAGCTGTGGTGGACATGAAGAACAACCAGGTTACTATAACGGTTAATGGCGATGAAATTCGTATGGATCAGTTAGGGAATGCTGGTGACAAAACTTCTCCTTGTTTTTCAACATATGTACAACACTTTGTTGCTTGTGTTATCTTCTAATGCAAATGTAATATGTTTTGCAGGTGTCTGGTATCGCTTAAGGGACTTCAACGCAGAGTTACCCCCACAGGAGCAGCTACCACACACCCATGTGGTGGTGCTTACTCGCATATCATCAAGATATGCAGACCTGGGGGGCTATCCCAGACTTGGCCATCCAGCATTCAACAACTGTTA